TCCGGCCGTAGTTACAACGTGCAGCAGGAGTGACAGTTGATTCGCAATTCACATCCTCATAACTGAGGCAGTAAACGTTTGTAAATTGTGATGTTAAACCTTGTGAACTTGGAATCAACTGGCGACCTTGAACGTAGCCAACCATGCATCTACTCACGTAAATCACACTTTACGCGGAATGTCATAGGCGAGGTTGTGGCTATTGTTAGCATTGTGGATCTTGTAGAATTTTGAAGCAGATCTTAACACAAAGATTGAAAAAATACAAAGACGTTTATGGGCAATACTTTTCCCTAAAAATGCCTTTCAAGCCCTTAACTGCATGGAATACCCTTGTAATACTTTTACTTGGCTACGGCGCTTCGGCCATGGAGCTTGTGGATGGCATGTGCCCTTCACTGAAACAAATCGAATGCAAACCTGGATTACTTCTCCCAGTTTGGAAGCCTGTTAATGCAACATTTATTGGGGACAAAGCAGCACGGTCTATAGTGTACTTCCTGGCACTTCTTTATTGCTTTCTCGGCGTTTCCATAATTGCCGACCGGTTTATGGCAGCGATTGAGGTGATCACAAGCAAAGAAAAAGAAATCGTCATAAAAACAAAATCAGGAGAGAAACAAACCATTTCCGTGCGAATTTGGAACGAAACTGTTTCCAATCTCACACTAATGGCACTTGGATCTTCGGCGCCCGAAATTCTGCTTTCCATTATTGAAATTTGTGGAAAAAATTTTGAAGCCGGTGATTTAGGACCAGGGACGATAGTTGGATCTGCGGCGTTCAATATGTTTGTAATCATTGGTGTTTGTATCATTGTCATACCCAAAGGTTCTGTTCGACGGATCAAGCACCTGAGCGTTTTCTTTGTCACATCCACATGGAGTATCTTCGCCTATCTATGGTTATATTTTATAATCGCGATTTCCTCGCCTGATGAAGTTGTTGTATGGGAAGCATTGTTGACGTTCATATTTTTTCCAGTTACCGTCTTAACCGCTTATATCGCAGACAGGAAGCTGGTCCAGAAGAGGTTTTTAAGAAAACGCTACAGTGCCCGGAAAACAGTTAAATCTTTAACCGAGGAAGACATTGAGTTAAACGGAAAACTCCCAACCTTAACGCTCTCAGACGAAGACTCTGAAGATCCAAAAGATGCATTTGAACGCACCCGTCTGGAATATGTGGAAGTTATGAGGAACATCAGGAAGGAACATCCAAACATCGATACAAAGGAACTTGAAGAACTTGCCCAAATCGAGGTTCTGAATAAAGGGCCGAAGTCGCGAGCCCTATATCGTATGCAGGCGACTCGGGCATTGACTGGCGGTGGAAGTGTCATTACAAAGGCTAAAGTTGAACGCAGAATGTCAATACAAACGGTTGAAGTAAAGGAGATTTACGGGCCGGAGACACAACAAGTTTTTTTCAGCCCTGGTCATTATACAGTCATGGAAAACGTTGGTACTTTTGGCGTGACGGTTTTCCGAAAAGGAGGTGATATGGATGCCACCATTTCTGTGGACTATTTTACCGAAGACGGTACGGCTGTGGCTAATGAGGATTACGTTCCTGCAAGCGGAACTTTAGTATTTAATGCAAACGAAACTCACAAACAAATATCAATTGCTATCATTGATGATGAAGTATTCGAAGAAGACGAACATTTCAGTATCCGCTTGAACAATCTCAAGGTCGTTCGGTCGACCAAACCTATAGACCTTCGTCTTGTAGACCCTAGTGTGGCCACTGTGCTGGTCCTAGATGACGATCACTGTGGGGTGTTTCAATTTAAGTCCGATTCTGTGCAAATTAGCGAGTCTTGTGGAGTTGCGGAGATCCCAGTGGCTAGGAATTCTGGTAAGTCATACACATAAGTGCTTACCTCATTAAAGGAATTATATTACATGATTTGGTATTTTTTACTGAGCGTCGATATACCGTCTTCCAAAACACTGTACTTTAGGCCGCGCCAGTTCTTTCAATGTATTTACATTTTTATCGTTATCGCAGTCTGAAACCCAAATAGCATATTAACAAGAAACAGCGCTTCTAGGGGTTTAACTTTAGGTTTGTAGCTGCCTGGCTCTGACGAACACTTACTTGGTCACTGAGAATATGACAGCCTGAACCAACTAGTGCTGCGCCTGGGTAAGGGAAGGCATGCTTTATCCCAACCGACGAACCAGCTCACAGGTAACTAAGCCTTGTTGGTGCAATTAGGAATTAGAACAACCAGATGGATACAAAGGATAGTTGGCATCCACCAGTGATTACAAAAACATTCCAATTGATACACACATAGACTGCTGGCAACAGCTTTCAAATGAGGTCTGTGTTCCGTATCCCAGGAAATATCAAGACCGGCTAGTACACCCTTAAGTCGGAAATTTCGTGTAAGCTACTTATCAGATGTTCTGTAAAAGTTGGTCAGTCACTGCCCTCAGTATATCTGCATTCGCATTAATTAAAGTTGAGTTTATACCATCCCTGTTAATACACACCCCGACTAGCCCTGCAAGACTTTAAGTCAGGCCTAGACGCATGAATTTTTATTAGCATACTTGCATA